GGTCTGTGACTTGAGGGGAAGGAACGAATGTGTGCCGAGAGAATGCTGGACAGTGGTGGGCTCGGACCCCTCTCTAAAGCTACTGCGAATGCAATTGTGTCGTGGAAACAAGGTGGGGATCGGGGAGAGGGGATGGGACAGGAAGGTGCTTGGGACAGGTCTGCGAGCGCTCAGCTGCCTGAAGCCCTGGGCAGTGGTACTAGGGGCTGACTGGACATGGGTACACTGAGGGCGTGAACTCCGTAAGATCAAAGCCAGGTGTCCAGCCAGGGGCCTGCCTTGAGCAAGCCTGATCCTCGAGTCTCACTGCCTAATGGGAGCGAAGTCGCTGCCCAGCCTCCCTCGCAGGGCTGCTGTGTGGGTAGGAGAGGCAGGTCTCGCCCCCAGGACCCAGCAGAGTGTCTGACCCATAAATACATTTTTATGTATGTACGTAAACTTGTAAATGTGAGCTCTGCCACCCTAACTGTCGTGGAAGATCCATGGCACTTAGCTACGTGCCGAAGGCGTGATTCTCCTAGGCCAGAGTGAGCTCCACTTCACAGGTCGGCAGGCGGAGCAGCCCTCTGCAGACCTGGCCAGCCAAGGGGAAGAGGGGCCGAGAAACGCTGGCCGACGGCTGGGCTCTGGGCCGTGGGGAGTCTGTGGCCACTCCCTGCGGCTTGCCTGAAAGATCCGTCATACCTCGGCCTGCCTCACCCCCGGGGCAAGTTTTCAAGTTATTGCACTTCGATAACACCGGGCTGGCCTTCCAGGGGGAGAAACTGAGAGAGAAACAGTGATGGAGACAAAGTGAGCGGAAGACCAGACCGATGGAGCCGCAGAAACAGGAGAGAGGGGAGGGGGGACTGGAAGCTGAGCTCAGGAGAGACAGACGGGAAGAGTACAGAGGGAGATAAGGGAGGGGGAGAGGAGAGAAAACGAAGGGCAGAGGAAGAAATTATAAAAGGACACTGTGCCGGGAAGGAAAAGATGGCGGCAGGTGGGGAAAGGAGCAGAAGGAATCGTTACTGCAAAAAAAAAAAGCGCAGTATCTCTGTAGCCTCCCTGCTGGGAACAGTGTCCCTCTCCCCTCTCTGACAGTCTGGAAATGTTCGCAGGAAAATTCTGGCAGAGAAAGTGGAGTCCAGGCAGCAGTCCACTGACAGGAGACACCCCTGCCTCCTGCACCCCACGCCAGCCCCACCATCCACTAGCATGTCCTGAGCGCCCGTGACATGTGCAGGTGCTCTGCAACACCCTGGAGGTGGGACCACGGGCTAGCAGGAAGGGCTGACGCTGACAAGGGCTGCCCTCAGGCCCAGCCCCGTGCTGGAGACCCCATTCATCCTGTGCTGCCTCCTGTAGCTGCCATTGGGGACCCTGCCCCTTTGAAGTGTCTCTCAGGGCTGCTGTGGGCTGTCTGGCCTAGCCCCAGAAAGGACAGGCAGCTCCTTAGGTGGCCCCTACACCAGCTGCCCCCCATGGTGCTTGGCATACAGTAGGTGCTATTTAGATCAATGAGGCCCACTTCCCACCACCCCTCATCCACTGGCTGGCACTGGCTGTCTCAGCAGCTGTACCAAAGCGGGTCTATGGCTGCTCCAGTTGGGACCCCCAAGCCTTCCCTCCACGCCCTACCTCCAGGCCTTAGGGAGCTGAGGTTAAGGTGGATGGGCCTGAGCCTGGAGAAGAAGGGCAGCAGATGGCACAGAGCCACAGGCGTCTCCCCAGCCCTGCCCTCACCGACTTTGGGTGGCCCAGCATCTCTCCCCGCCTTGGTCCTAGCACCCAAAAACCTACGTCCTGCCATGTGCTGCTGTCCTGAGCCCCAGAGAAGTCAGATACTGCCTGGGGTTGCTCAGAAGTCTGGCCCAGAGCCCACACCAGACTCAGGCTCTCTCACCTTCTGGAAAACCTCATGGGGCTGCAGCCTGCTGTGACCACTAGATGTCACTGGTGACCTCCCAGGCCGGCTCCAGCCGCTGATGCCAACCAAGTGGCCTGGGGCTTCCTCCCTGTTGGGGCCTGGGAACTCAGGACTGGGCCAGGTCCAGAGCCTCATTCAGAGACGAGCCCCCTCCTCCAGCAGACTGCCAGTC